CTGCCGATGACATTTTTTTTAATAATGATGTTTATACATACACATCTGTTCAGAGGGTCACAGCTAAACAACACGCACACTGAAAATTTACCCAAAACACTTGTAAACTAGTGGTGCTTAACTGGTTTTACCAAGCAGCAACTCAACAAACAAACAACTGTTTATCGTACAGAAGTAAACAAAATCAAAGACATAAATTTACTTAAATATTTATTAAAGTGTTCATTTCAGCTGGCTTGTTTGAGTGTTTGGTTTCTAAATGTCTTCTCAATGGTTTCATGCTCTTGGCAGCTCCACACAAATCACACAAATCACACTGTGGTTGAATAAATCATGTTTATCCTTGCTGCAAGTAAACCCTTATTTGGACCATATGGACCATATTTGCTTTTACCTTGGATGCTTTTGTTCATGTCACGCAACCTGCCATGTTTACATCTGTCTATTATGATTCTCATAATAGTTAAAATATCCAGGTTTAAATTATTAATGAAAACATACAGTGGGTATCACCCCCCTTTAAAATAATCACATTTTGTATTTTGCCTCATCCATTTTTCCTTCTATCCTGACAAGTGCTCCAGTCCCTGCTGCAGAGAAACTCCCCCATCACAGGATATTATCCCCTCCACTGTAGGCTGTAGGAATGCTGTTATTTGGATGGTGAGCTGTATTGGATTTCCACCAGACATGTTTGGTGTTGAGGCCAAATAATTCAATTTTAGTCTCATCTGCCTCAGAATCTTCAAGGTGTTTTTTGGCAAAGCTCAGTCATGACTGCATGTGGCCTTTCTTTAGCAGTGGCTTTTTTCTTGCAACCCTCCCATACAAGCCACATTTGCGGTGCAGTGCACACAATGATCACTCTTTGTCATAAATTCCTGCAGCTCCTTCAGAGTTGCTGTAGGTCTCTTGTTCGCCTCTCTGACCAGTTCCCTCCTGACTCTTTCATCCAGTTTAGAGCGACGTCCTGATCCAGGGAGGGTCTGTGTTCAACCAAATACCTTCCACGTCTTAATAACAGACTTCACTGTGCTTCTAGGCATTGATAAATCCTTTGACATTTTTTTGTATCCATCTCCTGACTTGTGCCTGTCCACAACTTTATCCTGGAGATCTTTTGACAGTGCCTTGCCACCCATAGTTGATTGTTTGCTTCAGTTGCACTACCAAGGACTGAAATGCTCCAGGAAAGCTCTTTTCAGAAGGTGATTAGCTACACCTGATTGAGTTTACAAGTCATTTTTAGGAGGGGGGTGATTTCCAATTTGTTTTCTGTTTTTTTATTTATTTTTTTTTTCTGAAATGTTGGTGTTACATCTTTCACATGGATGTTATAAGTTGCACCGAGTAAATACAGCTGGATAAAACAAAAACTGTGTCCGTCTTCACTTCAGGCTGCAAAGCAACAAAATGTGATTATTTTAAAAAGGTTTAAAAAATATTATATTCTATACCCACTGTACACCATCACAGCATTTATTCTAGAGCAACATGTCACTGTAAGTAAGAGGAATTTACTTAAGCAACTTATAAGAATATCAGTATAAGATATTAAAAACCAGAACGTGGAAATAACATCTCTAAAACAGTGCCAAATATTCTAATAGCTAGGGTTGAGTGATATATTAAAATAAAATTTATTGTAACAGCCAATCACTGAAGCACTGTATCATGAGCTGCAAGCGTGTAAATGAGCAGTGCTGCATTTCACTCAGAAACCTTTATTTATTCGCCAGCAAACTGCCTAAATAAAAGTTAGATGGTTTGACAATGGAAATTTACACATAAATATTATTGTAATTTTATATTTATACAATAAAATAAAATTATTTATTAAATACTTTATTTTGTATTTTATAGTGCTATACTATTATTACAATATATTTCTTATTTTGTTTAATATGTTAATATTTGTTTAACATTTTTCATATTGAATGAGTCAAAAACAGTTGGAATGAGATTTTTTGTTTTTGACGTTTTGTTTACTTCATTGTTACTGAAAGAGGTGTACCCATGTGTGAAGACTCAATCAAAGGATCAAGGGATGGTTCACACAAATAAAGAAAGAAAAGAAAAGAAAAGAAAAGAAAAGAAAAGAAAAGAAAAGAAAAGAAAAGAAAAGAAAAGAAAAGAAAAGAAAAGAAAAGAAAAGAAAAGAAAAGAAAAGAAAGAAAAGAAAAAGAAAAGAAAAGAAAAGAAAAGAAAAGAAAAGAAAAGAAAAGACAGGTGCAGATGCACACCCCAATTATTCTAGATTGATTTTTATTTCCCCCAAACATAGCTATTCAAATCATCTGGTGAAAATACCTGTAGTCTTTTATAGCAACATATATTGCAGAAAAACAAAATATTGCAATTTTAGTTGTTTACAGTAATGTGCAGCCCTATAATCTACACAGGCTTATTCATGCCTGCAATGTAAAGATGACTGAGATGGTGAATAGCTTTCTTCACAGTAAGAATGTGTGGCACTGTTACTGCTTTAGTGCTGAAATGTGCAGTGCTGGAGGGTAAACAGTTGCGTGTATGAACCGACGCTGACTTTGTTAATAAAAACAATACTTGGAGGATTTTCGAGTGAATGAGAATGAGCCAAATGGGTTTTTAAACACGAGTTGAATGAACTTAACCTCTGAAGCCCTTTGGGATTCGCAAAATCAGAAAAAATAAACTCAGTTGGATGTGTTGAAACATTCCCCAAGCCCATATGCCAGCTGTTTTGAGAGCGTAGTAGCACTGCAAGAGAAACAGGCTCGGCCTAAACACAGAATTTTAAAAAATATTGTACAAAAATTATGTATAAAACCACCAGGTACTCTTACAGACAATCATCTTCACTTAAATACACCAAGCCAAGAATAATAATACTGTCCTTGGGCTGAAAGGCACATGTAACACATAGCATTCTTTATGTACTTGGAAGAGGAAGCACTAACTATACGCTAAAGCACTATTTTGTTGATGGGTCCATACAATTATACCTTTGTGGATAGAAAAGTTACTACACCTCAACTGTAGCTTAAACATAAAATCAATGCTATACGTATTTAAGCGAGTATGTGCATTTGATGGAGTCACAGACTATTACCCACCACTGAGCACTCAAAATAAACAATGGAATGGAAGCCATCTGAACACTGCGTGCTGGAATGATTGACAAGCGGCAGCTGGCGTCATGGTGAGCAACATATATGCGGACACTTCCTTGCATACACATAGTATTTATACACATGCATTATAAAAAATATGCACAATGTATACAAACTGTACTTTCATTGCACTGTATCTACAGTCAATTCAGCTCAAAAAGGATAATTTTATGCTGATACTTTGCCTGGTTTACATCAAATGGTTGAAACGAAGTAAAAGTGCAGACTGTATTGCAAGATCAGACCCTCTCCCATGGCACAGCAATAAACAACCAACACGGCCATTATCTAGGATGCCTGCTGTTAAACGGTCCCCACACCTGGTTCAAAAGTACCTATCCAAGTCATGTCCATTTTAAACTGATTTCACTACGCTGTCTGAAGTCATTTCCCACTCAGTTAACACAACAATGACTAGTACTGACTAGCCTAATTAACAAGGAGATGTCTGTACCATCTGGCCTGGTTCTCAGAGATGTGTAAATTCACACACACACACAAGCACAGGCTATAACACAAGAGTTGTCTAATGACTGAAATCTGGAGGTTATGTTAGGGAAGCAAGTTAAAATGTAGCTGATAGGAAGCTTCGCTTTTAGTAGAAAAAGTGTGACGGACTTGAGGCCATTGAGGCCATTTTAATTTGTTAGTCGTACGCTGTGAACCTTGTTGACTGTTCCCTGCGCTCAGGAATGGCAAGATGACGCCATCCCAACACTCTGGCTTGCATCACGACCCGCTCAAACACAACTTGAAATCAATGACTGCCAACACCAGCCGAAAATATAACTGCACATGTCACCACAGCAATGCCAGTCCGAGGGCACCAGTGAACGGGTTGGGGAAAGGAGACTCTTTTCACTCATTTACATTACATTGGAAATGAAATCTAGTCAACAGTGATCACGTCTCTATCCTGGCAACAATAGTATCTCTTCACGTACCTGCAGACAAGAGACTATTTTGTGGAAGGAAAGCACAAAAGGCTTAACCGCAAGATACATTCAACTGCATATCAGATGTAGCAGGAGGAGCACACTATCACAGGTGTGTAGAGATCGAGGAGGGGTGAGCTGTGGATGAATGGGGTTAACGGACATACCTGGTGGACAGATGCAGTTATGAGGTGCATCCCGAGCCGCCCGGATCTTCGGTAGACGTGCTGCTAATTTCTGGAAATAAAAAAACAGGACATTTGAAGTCAGCTGTGCAGAAATCAACCACATTGTATGTAAGGTAAAATAAAAAAGCTAGTGTAGTTGGTGTTAGTTTGTTAGTCTTTATTTGTTATTCATGCAAACAAAAAATATTGAAGTACACAAACCAATATCATAAAATATTATTATTAAATAACATCATAATATATAACCACAAATAAATTATTAAAATATGTAGAAAATATTTTAAACATACATTAAATACATAAATATATTACATGACATTTGAAATATATTAAAAAGAAAACTCACTGAAAAGCTATTTTTGAATTGACCTAAGAAGCTTAAACATATTTGGCGCTCCGACCTTCACCAGGGGCACAACTTCTATTGTTTCTGCATAGCTTTGGAGCCGTTCGCTCTTTTAGCAGCGTCATGTCTGTGTGCAGTGAGGGGACTGACAAGTGATGCATTAGTTTAACAATGTATGTGTGCATACTAGGTCACTTTTTGAAACAAACTGAATTGGTTACATTGAAACTCCAGGGTAGTGCAGGTATCAAAGTGAACACTTAATTCTAGATGAACAGGATTTAAAGAACAGTTGGTGCTCTTTAAAAAAGGAAATTTCCACAAAAGTGATATTAAACAGAGCTACTACTGTATGTTTAGCCAAAACTTACAAAACCGCAGCTAAAATAGACATGCCCACTGTATGCAGTGCCTTTTCGCTGGTAGAACAATCACTGACTGGCTACATTTATGACTGAATTGTAAAGTTTGTCAGGTGTCTGCAGTGTGGTACTATAGGTCATGCCCTCTCCTCTAATATTGAAACACTGAAGGTAAATAATTCTGGGGCTGCTATCGGACATTTTTCTTGCCATAGTTTATATATATATTACCCAATGATCGTTCCAGGGCTTTATTTGATTGATACTGGCAAACCCTCTTCCCAGCTGGAGAAGTCTTTACTCAAACAGCTCTCAGACACTACAAGCTATTGTAGCAGTTTTTCCACACTACTGAACTACAGATATTGTTAAACAGAAAGTGCTAATGGAGGTTAAGAAGAAAAGGAAAACCTAAAGAACGCTAAAATGAAAATATACTGTACGTGACAGCAGGGTTAAACAACAGACAGTTGTTCTGCAAGCACAGAAGCCGTGGAAAATGCATTACAATTTGGAGGGAACCTGTACTGTGTGTAAACTGCTTTTCCACAGGAGCAATATCCAGGGATAATGCACACGCATTAAATGCCAAGGCTTTAACTCATGATTTTCCAGTGCTGCATTCCTAAGTTATGTCCAAATAAAAAATTTTTTACATCAAACCATGGGAAAGTGCATCACATTTCACTTAAATTTGAGAGCTCTCATAAACAATAATGCAGTGTCACAATGAGCAAACAATAGCCTGTGATGAAAAGTTAGCATGAAGAGTTACACTGACGGGAAGCACCTAGAACAAGATCTAAAGAAACAAAGACTTAGCTTTCATTTTGAAGCACATTAAGTTACTGAAGCATTTAATTCTGGTAGGGTGTGTTCCTTTATGCTTGAATAAAGGTGTTCTTAAAGTCAACATGAAATCAACAATGACCCTATTTACTTTCTTAATACGCATCTCTGGTCTTATTGTGCACGATTAATCTGTGCACTATATTCCAAATAGAAAAAAAAAAGTTTATTTTTGTAATCTTTCATCAAAAAGTAATAACTTGCACCCCTCTGAAATGACTCTCCTTTTCAGCTGATGTGACGAAGAATGTTTTTCAACCATCTGGCTTTATTTTGGAATGCAACACCCACTTTTCACAATCCAGTCAAATCTACCTCTTGTCCTGTCCGCATTTTTTCTCATAAAATACCTCATTAAAACTTGTGAAAAATTATTACACTCTTAAAAACAAAGCTTATTTATTGGCATCTATGGTTCCATTAAGAACTTTTAACATACATTGAACCTTTCCATTGGACAAAAGGTGGAAGAGGTTCTTTAAATGATTAAAATGTTCTTCACACTAAGAAAAAAATGGTTCTTTTAAGAACTGTTTGCTGAAAGGTTCTTTGGGGAACCAAAAATGGTTCTTCTATGGCAGCGCTGTGCAAACCCTTTCTTGGACCATTTATTTTTATCAATGTATTGAAGTAAAATGGTTTGCGAAAACCTTACCACTCCACAAAAGGCTCTTTATAGTGGAAAAATGGTCTTTAGATGATTAAAATGTTCTTCACACTAAGAAAAAAATGGTTCTTTTAAGAACTGTTTGCTGAAAGGTTCTTTGGGGAACCAAAAATGGTTCTTCTATGGCAGCGCTGTGCAAACCCTTTCTTGGACCATTTATTTTTATCAATGTATTGAAGTAAAATGGTTTGCGAACATGTTTCATGCTGACTTTAAGATGACGTGATGTAAATGGTGAGGTTGCGGTCATGGCATGAGACAGCTGATGTCCCAGTGATTGCAGGGATAGGTTGGGAGGGAGGAGAAATTCTCTGCCTCCCAGCTTCAATGGTAACATGATGCCCAGTATTTGATCTGGTTTTAACAATCTATTTTGAAAGGATGACACAACATTTTACAATTCCAATGTCTGATTACTACTAAGACCCCAGACTTTGAGCCTGCAAGCCTAGCTCTATCGCTCTTTCCATTTCTTTCATTCTCTACTTCATTTAGCTACTTTCCCTCTTAACAGATCTTGATTTCACCCCTAAAGGCACGTTCTGTCATAGATTGTGAAATCAGCACCATTCTAACCTTCAACAGGCACTTCCAATGTATATGTTTCTCAGTTTAATGGAGTCATATACATGCAATTTTATGGTGACGCTGAAACATTGGTTGTCAATATGCCTATGAGAAACATCTGCCCTTGATAACAGAACACCCCTGAGATAAACACATTTCAGATGCTTTTCAAAGGTCCGTCAGTATTAAACAAAACTGAAGCCTATTTTAGCTTTTTTTTTATTACATTTAAGCACATTTTCCCGCAAAACTCTCATTACTGTAATGCATGTGGACACTTTACTTTTTGCAATTGCCATTATTCTGAAGGACGACTCTCATTACATTCTCGTTACAATAATACTGTAATTCTTTATCCGTGTTTTGCATTACGTAAAGTATGGGTGATGAAATATGCCTAATTGTCATGTTACAATGCCTGAAAGGTGCCTATTTTCTAATAAGCAAATCAAATTCATATTTTTATGACCTGGATATGTTCTTGACAGATTTCAGCAAGATCCACCTGTAAATGACTCAACATTATGCAGATACTGAATTCACACTCAGCCTCAGATTGACTCACACTTGGCTGCCTCTACTTCAGACTGCATAGTCTCATTAACATACTGAATATTCACCTCCGTCATCCTCTGCAGACTATTTTACTTTATGAACCACAGATAGTGAGATGGCAGCCTTTCCCCAAAATTCAACCCAAGATACTTTTAACACCTCAAATATTTTACATGCAGCTAGGTGATGAACCACCAGAGGCCATTGTGAAGGGACCACTGCCGCAGGCAATGTACTGTATATATATTATTATATTATATATGTATATATATATATATATATATCGCTTTTCTCCACCTCACCACTTCAAGCTCAATCTTATTCTACACAGATGCCGTGCTCGGTCAGCGCTAAAGCTGGCAAGAGCCCTAACTGCTTGATTGTTGATTTAAAACAGGTGGTCATATGGTGACACAATGTGTTCAGCAGGTCTTGCATGCTGCAAATAATAGTTTTGCTAAACAACAACAGTCATATCTTTCAGTAGCAGATATATAAATCACTGAACAGACTTTCTTAAAATTCAGTCAGCCAAGTGTGGATAATAGGGGGTTATCTACCGGATCACATCAATTATGTGTACTTTTATTAAGGCATCTACACTAATTGATGTGTCAAAATGGCAGCAGGAAATTTTGGCAATATGACTCTGTTATTTATAGACACCCATTCTAGAGCAATGCTAAATAGGATGTGAAAAATGTAAGCTATGTAAAAGAGTCTGATCTGACACTGACATTTGAAGAGCTACAGTACCAAGCAAACTTAATTCAATAATCAGGATTTAATAATTTATATATATAAATTATTAGTTAAAATATTAACTAATATGTTTATTTAGAGTCAGTATAGAAGATATGTTCTCAGTTAAACAAAAAACGTAGTTAGTAATTAGTTATTTCTTTATTTTCTGCGTTTTATCTCTATTAGATTTTAATCAATTAAAAAAGGAGTAACTGAGATAAACGAGAAAAAAATAGCAATAAACGCAGTAAAAGACAATACAAACAGACAACAAAGCAAACAAAGCAATTAAATAATACCAAATAATAATTAATAAACAGAACTAAACACAAGCCCAAAAAAGTGGGTACAGCAATCAAAAAGTAATTATTTTGATCATGAGCGTTTGAAAGTCGGCAGAGCTCAAACTGTGCGCACTGAAAGTACCCTACCTAAACAAACGAGGGCCAATAAACAAACTAATATACGGACGAGGAGCTTGAGAGCTTAGCTCGTCAGTTTCGATATTTTATCACACCTGAACGTAGTTCCAGAAACATCCTCATCTTCCACCTCAAACTCTCTCTGCTCATTTAACTTTCTGAACAACGCACTTCTAACCTCTCGTGGAAGACAACACTTCGACAAGATGGGACAACGTGAACTTCTCTTTCACTCTGTCCTCGCACTCATGACTCAAGCAAACAGCTTGTATAAGTATGACTTGGTGTTATTGCATCCACAGACAAATGTCTGGAGAATAAAAGTCACCGCTCACCTCCTCTAATATCTGATCCAGTCGACTCCACAGGACGGGCTCCACCTGTTCCAGAGAGATCCAACTGGAGATACGAGGATCTCTGTCCTTTTCCAAACTGAGCACCCTGGACTGCAGATCTGATGTCCTCAGGTAAAGCAACACACAAACTCCAAACGAGATCAAACACACGCAGATTGCACACACGTCCTTCCAGTTCGTCAAAAGGCGCTTTTGGCAAGGATGCTGAACGCAGGTCCTCTCCCGACTGGAATGAGGTGATACTCGCAATTTCATGTCCTCCATGTCTGTGAGACTTATGTAGGCAATTTGATGTTTATCCAGCACTTTATCACGCTGAACGGGGGTCGTGCTCAAATAAACTGATTAAAGTTCTCCTTTCACTCAATTAAACCGCTTTTCACGTGAAAATATCAATCTTCAAAATTACCTCAACAGAGGCATGCTGCTCATACAAGTGCATGGAGATGACTGTTGAGTGATCTCCGGCTCTAGTGGGAGTCCGTGTGCTTGAGTCGTGCCATTTGACGGGTTTGTCTGACTGCTGCGTGCTTGAGTCTCTCTCAGAATGAAACCTGACACACACTACGCGGCTGTGCAGCGCTCACCACGGGACCCTTCGCTTCTCTGTCGCCGACAAGCCCCTCCTTTCGGTTTATTTAGGCTAAACGGTAGGGCGGGATTCACGGAGGAGCTGACCCCGGCTTTAATCCGGCTTTGGAGAACGATATTTTTAGGTGCCTCGCTGAATCAGTGCGTAAAGTGGACATGATCACCACACAATTATTGAAGAAACAGAAACTGTTTCTTCAGCCACACGTCTAGACCCAAGGTGCGAATTAAGAAGGTGTTTTCAAACTATGTTTCGGTTACCAAAATATAAAACTACAAATTAGTCAAAGAACGAGCGTGCATCAACTTCCCAATACCAAAAACTAATGGAATTGGCCACACTCCAGAGGAACTTGAATAAAGAGGAATTGATGAATTACAGTTGGAAGAAATTCAACAGGTAATGAATGGCCTTCTGAGAAATGAAGTGGTTATTCCCCTGGTTTGTAAAGCCATTTAAATGTATGTCTGTCTGTAAGGCCTATAAAACCTTCAAACTTCAAGCCTTTTGAAACTTTTTTTAACCTTAAAGGGGTCATATGATGCGATTTCAATTTTTCCTTTCTCTTTGAAGTGTTACAAGCTCTTGGTGCATGAAGAAGATCTGTAAAGTTGCAAAGACTAAAGTCTCAAATCCAAAGAGATATTCTTTATAAAAGTTAAGAGTCAGCCACGCCTACCTAAAACGGCTCGTTCTAACACGCCCCCACATG